CGCGCCTGCCGGAGGAGCAGACGGAGAGGACCGCCTGGGCGCCATGCATGGGGGGCCTCTGGGGGAACCTTGGGGGGGGGGGGGGGCGGGCTCCCGGCCTGGCGTGAGAGGCCCAGAGAGATCCAACGCATTGAAAACATCGAGATGGAGTTTTTTTTTTTGCAACTTTCGGCCTCCGGGGGCCCTCGCCGGGCCCCCCGTTAAAAGTCGACTCAGGATGAAAAACCGGTCCTGCAGAATGGGTCGAGATTTCTGGGGACCGTCGTGGGCGCCTGGGGGGCCCGGGGAACCTGGGAGAGGGGGGGCCCGGCCTTGCGTCTTACGTGAGAGGGGGAAGACCTAGACATGGTCGCGTCGTGAAAAGATCAGGGCGGCAAGCCGTTCGCCGCGTTCGGCCCCTGGGGGCCCTCGCCGGGCCCCGGGAGCGTCCACAGACGACTCGGGACGACCGAGTTGGTCCCGGGGAACTGGTCGGGGCTTCCGGGAGCGCCGTCCTGAAAAGAGGCAGGGCGGGGCGCGTCTGCCCTTCCTCCGTCGCTGCCCCTGTTCGAAGAAAAAAATAACGCTACAAACACACATCACCGAGCGCGTTCCACTATTCGCAAAGTGCCTAGGGCCTACACTCGCAAACGTCCGAACAAGAGCACATGCCTGCTTCGATGTGATCTGTCGTAGATCCCCCGCGGCGGATCCAGGCCATTTGCGAGTAGTCACTTTGCGAGTAGTGGAACGCGCTCGTTCAATAAGCTCTTGGCGCTCCGCGCGGACTCCTTGGATCCGCGCTGGGACCCCCCTGGCGGCGCCTCCAGCGCCGCCCCTGGCGCGCTCCGCGCTCCAGGCCCAGCGCGGATCCGAGAAGCCCGCGCGGAGCTCCAACAGTCTGTGTTTGTGTGGTTTGTTGTTCTTCTGTCCGTGGGGGTCTCGAGGATCCTGAGGCCCAGACCCCCTCGAGCAATGAACAAATCACGACGGGAGGTTTTTCCCCTATTTTCAGCCCCTGGGGCCACTTCTCGGCCCTCGGGGGCGTCAAACAACGACTCGGGATGAGAAACCGGTCCAGGGGAATGGGTCGAGACCTCCAGGGGTCGACGTAATGAACAAATCATGACGTCGGGGGTCTGGGGTCCGGGGAGGCTCTCGCCCCCACGGGTGGATCCCCTCCCAGATTCTGGTCACGGCGCAGGCCGGGAGAGGTCCGAGCCCTCGCTGCACCTTTTGCTTCCCCCCCCCCCTGCGGCGCCCTGCGGACGTCCTCGCCGCAGGGCTCGGGCGGCGTCCGCGGAGCACCCCGCACCGATCCTGGCGGGGCCCGTCCTGGGCCTCGGGATGGGAGCCTGCGTGTGCGCCGTCCTAACCTGGCCGGGGAGGGGCATACAGCGGGGGCCCATGCCAAGAAACACCCTGCTTGCCTCCATGGTGCCCGGGGTTTCTTGGATTTCGACGGTTTTGCGTTGGAAGGCGTGGCGTTCCCACACCAAAAATCCATGGACTACCTGGGGTCTAAGGGTCGGATTTCTCGTGGAGGGTTCCTTGTGGACGGGCCTCCTTGTGGACTGGACTGCCTTTCTGTTGGCCCTCGCTCGTTTGTCGTTTTCGGGCCTCGTTCGGTCCCTGCCTGCCGCCTGGGAGTTAGCGCTTGATTCTAAGGCACGTCCAAAACTAAAAAGCAAACAACATGCCACCCGGACTGGGGCCCCACGGGGGCGTCGCGACGCAAAGTGTGTGAGTGTGTGTGTGTATGTGTGTTTGTGTGGCACGTCCAGGCGTAACGATGCAGAGGGTGTTCGCAGGACCCTTGGGATTTCTTATGTCATAACATATGTTGACTTGTACCTGCTGTTTGGTAACCTCATGAACCACCCTTCGGGCGATAAGGAGGTTTAGGTGGGGGCAGGTGGGAACGGTTGTCGGTTTGCGGCCGGCGTTCGGTCGGAGTCGCATGTTGTCCATCTCTCGACCTCGTTGTCTACCGATCTCGTCGCCTACCAGCCGATTGCAGTATTGGCTATCGTCCTTATTGGCAACCTCTTGATTTACGACCTATATGTAGACCGCTCCGCTGTCCATTATCTACCGATGTTGATATCTACCGAGGCACGTATCTATCTCTCGACGTCAGTATCAACCCGTGGATACGCATCTTTATTTACTGATATATGGACGCCTCTATCTACATGGTTGCTTCGGTTTCACTATCGACCGATGCCATTATCAGTCGATCCCATTTCGGTTCCCATTCAGGCGTACACTTCGATGACACAACTTCATTGTATATTAAAGTGCATGCCTGGGCGCGTTTCGGTGTGCCACTGGTTTTGATGCGCGCTTCAGATTTAATTTCGATTGCACTCCCATTGGCATTTTAATAAAAGTGTTGATGCGCATGTCTCTTTGCATCTTGATGTGCATTTCGCCTGTCTGTTTCCCTTCACATGCACAATCAGTGGTATCTGTTCTTATCGATATCGATCGACGTCCGCAGCTCATTTGTGTCAAAAGAGCGTTGCATGGTAGCGGAGCGTCGGTCGCTCCGGCGCTCGCGCGCACCGGCCCCCGGCCGCGCTCCCGCGCGGCCCGCCCCGCCCACGCCAGCCACGGCGTCGAGCGGCGATCGCGGTGCTGCTGGCGGGTGGCAGCTGGTGGCGGACGAGGCAGAGGCGTCGGTCAAGCAGGCCGACGGGAGCGTGCAGCATCGCTGGCGCCACGTAGTGGCGAAGGTGCTGAAGCAGAAGTTTCTCAGGGGCTTCTGGGCGGTGCTCGGTGAGTACCTCAACTACATCAAGCGCAGGCAGCTGCAATGAATGAGCAGGAGAGGCAGGCCATGGCTAGCCTGCAGTCCGCGGTGGAAGCGCTGAGGATTCAGAATGCTCAGCTGTCCCAGCAGGCGGAGCAGATGCAGCAGCAGAACGTACAGATCAGGACAGAGCTCGCTCGGCAGGTGCAGGCGCAGGGTGACCTACCACGTCTGGCTGAGCAGCTTGGCGACGCGGTGCAGAAGCTATCGGAAGAACGCAAGGAGAAGTCGTCTGCGCCGGCCTTCTCACTCGTAGACACGCAAACCCTCCATCTTCAAGAACGAGGAGGCCAAGTTCCTGGAGTGGTACCGCAAGACGAATGCGTACCTGACGGCGATCTTCGGCGAGCAGTTTCGCGAACTGCTGGAGTGGGTGGAGGACCAGGCGCAGGAGACCACAGTGATCAGCATGGAGGTCCTGGAGGCGCGGTTTGGCAGTGACGATGATGACGAAGATGAGTTCATTCCGGACTTCCGCGAGAAGGTCAGTCAGCTTTACGTCGCACTCCAGACGCTGACCGAGGGTGAGAGCTTCGCCCTAGTCATGAACACGCCCAAGGGCAACGGCGCGGAGGCGATGAGGAAGCTCATCCGGCGCTGGGACCCAGCGTCGGGGGGCAAGCGCCGCGTCCTCTTGAAGCAAATCATGAACCCGCAGCGGTGCACCCTCAGCGACCTGTACGCGAAGCTCGAGGAGTGGGAGGAGCTCATCCGCAGGTACGAGAGGAAGAAGGCGGACGGCACGGGCAAGGTGGTCGACGACGACGTGAAGGTCGCGGCCCTGGAGACCATGGTGCCGGAGGAGCTCGAACTCCACCTCGCGATGAACAAGCATAGGCTAGACACGTCGGAGAAGGTCATAGAGGAGATCCGGAGCTTCCTGGAGTCGAGACAGTCGCAAGGCGCCCTCCTCCGACGGAAGCGAGGCGACCCGATGGACGTTGACTCGCTGTACAAAGGAGGCAAGAGCAAGTCCAAAGGCAAGGGTGACAAGAATGGCAAGAAGGGCCAGACTCCCAAGCCGCGTGACAAGCGGATGGTGCAGTGCTGGCGTTGCAGTGGCTGGGGCCATACGTCCAATGAGTGCACAGCCCGCCTGCCTGGCGGGAAGACCGGCGACGGCAAGGGCAGCAAAGGCAAAGGTAAGGGCAAGGACACGGACAAGGACAAGTCCAAGGGCAAGAACCGCCGCTGGGACACCAACTCCTTCGAGCCCGGTGCCGCGTCAAGCTCTGGCCAGCCGGTGTACGGGGACAACTGGGATGACGGCAACCACAGCACGGTCACCAGCCTTCCGCCCTCGGCGAGCCAGGTGGGCTCCATGAACCTCGGCTCCTTCGAGCTGTGCGCGTTCGAGCTCAACAGCTTCGACGAGACCGTCGACGACCAGGAGTGGATCAGGTTCACGTTCGACTCGGGCGCGGCCGTGACCACCTTCCCCGAGAACACCAAGGGCGAGCGGCTCCCGGCCGATCCGAACGCGAGGCATCGGACGGCCAGCGGTGAGATCATAGCCGACTCGGGCGGGGTATGCATCCAAGGGCGCTCCGAGTGGAGCGAGCCGATCAGCCTGAAGGCGCGGTTGGCCAGCATCCACAAGCCGCTGGTCTCGGCCTCGCAGACTCACCGCACGGGTCGGGCCACATGGCTGACGAAGGAGGGCGGCTACATCCTCCCGGCCGGCTCGGACATCGTGAACCGCGTCGACGCTCTCATCCGCGATGCTGCGTGGAGCGAGGCGGGCGTGGTGCCTCTGTGCATCGAGAAGGGCATCTACGCAGGCTACATCAAGAAGAACGAGGGAGGCCACGTCAAGAGGGTCTCGTTCGGCGACCACCGCGAGAGCTGGGACCTGTGCCCGGTCGAGGGCGGGTCGCCAGTCCCTCACCGGCAGGCCTGGCCGCAAGGCCGGGAGGAGGCGGCGCCGTTGCTGGGAGCCCGGGCCCAGCGCCGCTCACCGACTTAGACGTGGGCCAGGAGGAGGAGCAGCAGGCGCCGGAAGTGGCACCCGCTCGCGTCGCGCGCCGTGGCAGGGCGCCGACGCAAGCCGAGCGGGAGCAGCACTTGGCATCCGGCCACGCGGTCTACCGCTCGTGGTGCGAGGAGTGCGCGCGGGCAGCCGGCCTGGGCACCCAGCACGCCCGGCGACCTGAGGATCGCGATGACGCCGACCCGGTCGTCAGCATGGACTTCGCCTTCGTCGGGGAGAAGGTCCAGGACGTGGAGGGCGACGG